GCATCCTGAATCCTCACGACTCTTTTGCTAATATCCCAACCTCAACCGACACAAAATGCACAGAATCACCGCACCGGACATCTGAAGCTGCTGTACCACCGATGCCTCTAGAGGCTTTCTCCGGTGTATCTGAACGAGAAGTACAACTCTGCTTGGGGCCCGCTGGGGCCAGCATCTTCCCACACCTCTTGCTGCCAGGATGCTGTAAGTGTAGTATGCCAAGACTGCCGCCAAGACCATAACCTGTAGGGGATCGGCACAGCCGAAACTATGGACGCTAGATCCCTGGGCCCCTGGAGTCCTAGAGAGAGTCCGAGATCTCTGGGACTTTTGTTTGGTTCCCAATCGGGTTCTTATGACTAATCGGCTTCGACTGAAGCGTTTTTTTTGTTTCAAGCTTCTGTGATCTGGCAAGGGTCCAGGGTTTAGGGGTTTAGGTGTTTAGGGTGCGGGGGTTTAGGGTTTAAGGGTTTGGTGTTTAGGGTGCAGGGGTCTAGGGGTTCAGGGGTTTAGGGGTTTAGGTGTTAAAGGTGCGGGGGTTTAGGTTTGGGTTTAGGGTCCAGGGTCTAAGTTGCAAGCCCGGCGCCTGTGCAGATAACCTGATTGATTCGGAAAGCAGACATAGTCGTATAGGGACCCGAACCATTGTAGCGTAGTATCCCAAAACCTGCTCAAATCATTGCGAACCCATATTACATTACTGTAACCCTCAACCCTAAACCCATTACTGTAGCTCTTGAGGAAATGGCAGCCGAAATCCATCAAAATCAGATTCCATAGACGTAACGTGTTTAGGCTTTAGGGTTTCGGGGTGTAGGGTTTACGGGGGACCTTCCACGCTTGAGCCTTACAACAGGCATCCGCTTATCGAAGGAACGTTTATAGGGCCGCAACAAATTCTTGTAAGATCGTTGCATGGTTTGTGGTGGTGTAGCAAAAGACGGTTTAAGGGTACATGGTATACGTTTCAGGACTCTACGATTATATGGCTTTAAGGTTTCAGGGTCTAAGGTTTATAGGTTAGAGCCAGGTAGGGTTTCTGATGCTTGTTCAATGTTGACGCGAAAACTTCTCCGTGACCAGTCTAATCCGCCCACATCTGCCGCCGACACTCAGAGAAATGCAACGATCTAGGTGGAGACCACGAGAATCCAGCCCCTTTTAAACCTACATTTGCAAGCCGAAAAGGACTCAGGGTCTGTATTACGACAGCTATACAGGATGCTGACCAACTGCTGTTGAAGCCATCGAAGGCCATTGAGGCCCGAAAAGCAACAACATGCACCGAGGAGGCAGCTGCTGGGCTTGCGATGAGCAAAGCAGATTGGGCCTGGACGACAAGGCAGGCGCTTTGGTATGGCTTTAAGGGGATCTAGCGCAAATTTAATATCTTAGGGTCTGAGGGGGCCCTTTGCATGGGTATTTCGTGTGATTTGAGGACGGTTCTCTAAGAGTGTGCATGAGCATCAAACACCTGCCTCCTATGCAAAACGTACAAGTAAGCTGAGCACAAAACACCCAAACTTTCACAGTACTTAAGGATTCAGGGACTCAGTAAGTAGAGCTATGATTAAAGGTAGCTACACTTGTAATGAGCCTTATTCCGAATTCGGGTACTTCTGACCATACTTACTCAGTCGCCGGATCTTCTTTGAGGTCCCGGCATTGTACACCACACCTTGCGACTTGTCGAAGAAGGGGTGGGTCGTGACCTGAAGGCACCAGATAACCCTAAACCCTAAACCTCTCCGGGTTTCTGTAAAGGGTATAGCAACTCTTGTTTCTCCGGCCTGCGTGGTGTAGGTGGTGACGTTGTCGCCTCAGTTCGGCCCAGCCCCAAAATGCGACTTTGGGGGGGCAGGGCTGGGGGCTTTAGCTAGGGGCTTTAACAAATTAGAATAGGGTTTTGGGGCCATTAGACTATAGTCATAATAAGGAGCCCCCAAAAGGCCGCTATATTAAGTCTAGGGTTGAGGGTTTAGGCTTCGGGGGACGCTTGTTGCGAGGATTTTTATTCCGAAGGCTGCGGAGTACCACGGGCAATGCCGTTGGATCATGAACGCAAGGGACCACAGCGGTTTAGGATTTAGGGTTTAGGATTTGGGGGTACTTGCTGTTCCAGGCTTCGGATATCCTCCGATCTTGATGCTCTGAGCAACCGCAAACCGTACGCAGCAGAAGGGCCTCAAGGGTTTTGGGGGAATATACTGTAAGTGCATGAAGAATTTAAGGGGATACTACTACCAATGATTTCGACGGCTGTATCACGCACCAAGCCTAAACCTATGCAAAGGCTTAACAATCCCAGTAGTCTGTTCCTCCGGGTCTCTGAATAAGAAGGTACTACTATTCTATATTCCACTCCGGAAGCCTATTATGATTGTTCAAAGCCTCCATATTATAGACTGCGGGCGTGAGAAGTATAGTAATGTGCTACATTCTACCTCATGGAACCTACCATAATTTTCAGGGCATCTTATAGAGGTCGCGGAAGTGAGAACTATGGTCATATATATATATTCTACACCGGAACCCTAATATGATTTCAAGGCCTCTACATCATAGAACCCCTTAAAGGAACAATGTTTTGATTTTCACGACCTGAATATTATAGAGCTCTGAAAAGAGCCCTGTATCAAGTCAGCTCTGGCTTGTGGCCGAGCCCGCCGCGCGAGCCGGGTGCCACAATGGTGCTGGTGCTCCTTCACAGGCTTGAGGGTTGGGTTTATGGGGTTTAGTGTTGGTTTATCCTAAACCCTAAACCAACCGAACCCGCTCTAGGGCTCTATATCCAGATCGCAACAAGTAAGTCCTCCTCCCACCGAGGCTGCCCAGTAAGGCAAGCGTTTCGAAAAAAGCCTCCGTACAGCTTTGTACGACTTACAGTGAATCCAGGAAAGTTGAACATGCATCCGTGCTAGGACTCGTTTCTGTTTAACCTCAAAGGGCATGAGGATATTTCCAACTATGTGGCTTCTACTGTATGCGCCTGGGGCTCATTCTGTTCGGTCTGGGTTTAGGGTTTAGGGTTTAAGGCAGCACGAACCCTAATCCCTAAACTGCTGAAGAGAGAGGATGCCTTGGGGGCTGGGAGGCTGAGTTGTGGTGCAAGTGCCATGCATGGAGAGGCTCAGCATTATGTCATAGCATTTGGTCTTCCATTATTTTACGTAGATACATAAGACTATCTTACGTTGCGAGATAAAACATTCTAATATCATCTTTTAACTTAAGTTAGCAAGTTGTATTATGCTAGGTTAGCACTATCAGTCTACTATGTAGTGTATAGAATTGCATTGCAGTTACTACGTTATTTTACAGTGTGTGTGTGTATATGAACCTATAGACACACGCCTCTGCAAGTTCCTCCCAATTACTCTGTCAGCCCCCCCGGGCAGATGTCAGAGCCAGCTAGCAAGGGCTTGTCTGAGGGTTCCTCTGTGGGTAAGTCCTCGAAAGCAGGGTCCAGTTCGGGGTCCTTTTTAGAAGAGTGCCGTACTATATGGGGGACCTAAAAGGGGAGCCTAAACCCTAAACCCTAAACCTTAAACCCATAAACCCTAAACCCTAAACCCTAGTTCAAAGAACTACTCATGTAGCAACCCCAAGGTCTCGTCTCGCAGACAACCCGGCTCGCAGCATCGCCTGCAAGCTGCACATCAGGCCCACCATCAGCAGGCAGTACCTGACGAAAACACCCATATGGGTGGTTGTCTAAATTAGGGTCCCTTTTAGGGTCGTGATTATTAAGGTGCCGTACTATGTTGGGGACATAAAAAAGGGACCCTATTTTAGAAAACTACCCACATCTACACTGCACCCAACTCACATAGTACGTCTGCACATCGGAGAACCGTTGGAAGCACAGCCGCAGGCCGATCCAAAAGCCCGGACCATGCCCACCCCACGAGGGATGTAATCTCCGAGATCGCGGCATGCTCATGTTCTTGCAATTGTCCTTCACCTCGGGATTTTCTGTGCTCTACAGGGATGTGCTAGATGCAGATGCTGGTCCTCCAAATTGCCCAAAGTAGGTCCCATTTGTAAAATTCTACTTATAGACCTGAACCTTAGACCCCAACGCGGGTACTACCAGTTTGCAACTGTGAGCCTCTGTTGGGCTAGGGGCTCGCGGAGCGCCTTCCATACCGGGGCAGGGGCACTAAACCCCTACAGCCTAAACCCCACAAGAAAGGTTGGGTTCAGGGGGTCTAAGTTTGGGGCGTGAAGGTAGCTTTAAGGTACCGTAAAGCCCCTAAGCCCGGCCCGTACATCTCTAAACATCGCAACCCGGCAGCTCCCTAAACCCACCTTCGACCCTAAAACCCTAGAAGCTCTTAAACCAAGTCTCATTGCGATGCAAACTTCGGTCCCCCCGTGTTGGCTCTGCACATCACATGCCACGACCCGAGCAGTTCTGATGATTTTTGGGTGCCCGGCGAGGAAGATGGTAATGCCTGCAAAAGGGTTTTGTACGGTTCTGAAGGGTGCAGGGGTTGAAAAACGGTTACACCTAGGAATGATAAAAGTTCTGTGAGGCTTCTTTGGGTTTTGGAAGGTAGCCAGAATTCCGAGAAATCGGGGTCTGCGGTCGGAGATTTGACAATGAACGATCTTTCTTAAGCTTTCAGGGAAGGATCAAACTTGCTTCTGGCAGGCCGCTTTGAGAAGTTAACCACTAGACAACTCCGAATCGCCGCTCATGCTCAGGGTTTCGGGTTCTATTAACTGAAACCTGGCATCGCTCTCGAAACGCTGCAGCTCACCGGCGCTCCTCTCTTCTGTTCGTCCTTTTCCACACCGACGCGACGACTCGTCCAGGTAAGACGTCCTACTCCGCCAAGCATCCGCAAAGTAGGATGCTTGGAGCATGCCACGCTATGCTGGGCTGACACTTGTCTAGGCCAGCGAAGACCAGCCCTGGTTGGCACAGAATTAGAACAAGCAAGCTCTTGCCTTTGTGGCTGAAATCCATAACTCTGTCCAAATCCAAACGGCTGTCATGGCCCCAGGAAAACCTCCAGCCGCCCACTGCAGTCGATCACTGCCTTGGCGCCCGGTGTGCGTGTCGGGTGTGCCGGGTGTGCCGCTGGCATATCATAGCGGCCCAAAGTAGAATAGGATGGGGGGGGGGGGTACATTGTAGTATTCAGCTTCTGTGCCAGTTTCTGATTGTCAGAAAGCCAGAACGAGCGCAGGAGCCAAGATTCAAGAAGATGCTACTTGTAGCGACTAAACACGACGCACTCTGAACCTAAACACGACAGTGAGCTGGCAAATTGTGCTTGCAGGGCCTTCGGTACTGCGACTGGTTCAAAGGATTGCTAGACAACAGCAAAGTCGAGCATCGAATTTGTTGGTCAAATCTTCAGTGCGAATACAAACGGCATTGCTGTTCGAATTACCACGACGGTTTCGTGGACTACTGTCATGGTTGTTCTTGTTGCTACTACAAGTAGCGCACTATCGTCACTGTTGTTGCTGCTCCTCTATTTCTAGCACTTATTCGGGCTTGTTTGTTCTTTGTTCCAGTACGTAGCCCTAACCCGAAACCGGAAATCGGGAAAACCGCTCAACAAAAAACGAACCCTTGAATCTGCAAACGCTAAACCTCGACACCCTAAACCTAAACCAAAAGGCGAAAGTGCAAACCTAAAGCCCTAATCTTGTCGATTCTCTTCGATGGTACAAAACCCTTTTCAAGAACGAAAAGAGGCAAAGGACAACACAGAAAACAAGGTAAAACCCGATGTTAGAGTCCTTACCAAACCTGATGCTAAAATCCAAAATATTGAACGCGCATACCTGCTGAATGAGCTTTACACTATCCTGCTTACACACGAAACCCCTGAACCGCAAACCCTAAAGCCTAAACCCCCCAAAGCCCAGCCCTGAACTCCAAAACCCCTAAACCCTAAACCTTAAACCCTAAACCCCAAAACCCTAAACCCCTAAACCTTAAACCCTAAACCCCAAAACCCCTAAACCCGAAAAACAGAGTACACCGGATTGGACGCCGAGCGGCGAAGAGCCCTGGAGCCATGGCGGGTGAGGCCTGGAAACCGGCGCCCACCAGGTGCTCCTGTCTTGGTTTAGGGTTTAGGGTCTAGGGTTTAGAGGGTTTAAGGGGTTTAGGGAGTTTAGGTTTTAGGGTTAAGGGAGTTTAGGGTTTAGGGTGTAGGGTTTAGGTGTTTAAACGGTTTCTATGAGGTTGTGTGAGGTTTATAACTAAAGTGTTCATCTCTGTTAGGGTTGATAAGGATTACCTCCGGGTTTGTGTGCTGAGTGTTTGAACGGGTTCTTTGCCACCTCCAAAAGTGTTTCAAAAGACCCGATCAGAGCTAGGGGCTTCAGGGTTTAGGGTGTTAAGGGTTTAGGGTTTTTAAGGTTCAGGGTTCCGGGTTAAGGGCTTCGGGGTTCAGGCTTTGTGTCTTGAGCTTAGGGCCTAGGGTTGGGGACTTGGGGCTCGAGTGTTGTCGGCTTTTTGGGGGATTAAGGGTTTAAGGTTCAGGTTGTTCCTGAGGTGCAGTGGGGACTTTCGACCTGCCAGCTCCCTTTAGGGTTTAAGGTTTGGGGTTTTGGTTTTGATACAAGAGGCATCTTGCGCTTGGCGCGACGGCTTGCCCGAAAGACCTCAACCCTAAATCCTAGAACCCACGATCCTCCCCACTTGGCGTCTGCATTCGGGTGACGAAGGGAAAGACTGCCCCAGGGGCCTTGGGGCTTAGGGTTTCATTAGGAGGCCCTCTTGACTTCAACAAAGTGCCGTGACGTCTGATTGATTGATGCCTTGACTCTTTTGGACCAGGCCAAACGCTAAATCCTAATTCCCTAAACCCTAAACCCTAAAGAACCCCGAACACGTGCATCTTCCCGGCGCTCCTGTACTTCTTCGGGCGAGATCTTGCCGTCGCCGTTGTCGTCCCGTACGGCATAGATCTTGCCATCCTGCTACGAGGATCATGGGTCCGAGCAATATAGGGGCTCTAATAATTAGAATAGGGTTTTGGGATATATAACACTATAGTTACAACAAGGAACCCCCAAAATAGTATAGGTAATTCTTCAGGCCCATATATTAAATAGGTTGCTGCCATCTTTACAACCCTGAGAGCCCTCTAAGTTCCCTGACCCCTAAACCCTAAACCCTGAACCCCAAACTTCAACTTGGAGTTATGCGGCTGTGGACAGAGATCTCTGGCTGAGGATCTCCGCTGATGCTTAAGGGCGAGGGTGTTTGGGCTTTGGGGATCTAGGGTTTCTAGGGTTTTACACCTTTTGGAACTTGGTGTCCGTCTTCTTGGGATTTTACTGCAGGGTTTTGGGCTTTCGGGATTTCGGGCTCTCAGGCTCTAAGGCTTTATTCTGATTCAGAGCTTGGTGTGTGGGGTGGGTGTTGCCACGAAAACTGGTGTCCGAGCCCCTCTGACAGGGTTCGGCATGATACAAGCTGGAACTGCCAAGCTGATGGGGGTAGACTTTCTGAGTTCGAGATGCAGCTCCGAGTGATATTCGCAGGGACATATCGGCTCGGGTTTGCAACAACTAGTATGGACATTTGTGGGATGATACATTTGACCCAGTTCGTGCTGAGGGCGGCTATGTTGAGTGCGAGGATGCAATGCTGAGTAATTCTCGTTGGGACGAGTCTGCCCGGGCTTACAAAAACTGGTATGGACATTCCGAAACGATACATGTGACCCAGCTCGCAAACGCTGGTCTAGATATTCGTGGATTGGCAGGTACACTTTCGTTCGGCAGGGCCGTGGCAACAGTGGTGGTGCAGAAGGAGTCATGGATATGCGCCGTGAGCTTGAATTGACTGGGCTGATCGGGATGGAAGTTGTCTAAGACGGATGACTTCGGACGCTGTTGAAAGCTAGGCTTTCGCGGGGATTGTTGTCACGTGCTTGACGTCGCTGGCATATGGTTGTTCTACTTTATGCGGTGCTGTTGAGAAGCTTCCACACCGTCCTATGCCTGCAAAGCCAACCTGCATGATCCCTCAAAACTGGGGCCGTGCAATTGCATGGCCAACCTGAGATGGTTGGGGTTCGGTTGTATCGCATTTATCTCTCCTGCAAGTGAGTGTGTGCGAATGGCCGAATTGCGCCTGGCTCAACTGAGCCTTCCAGCCAACCAAAGAGTGGTCCTCCATCTTGTCATCGGTGGGCAGGCCCGTACCGATGTAAGTGCAGGTGCTCGGCTCGCTGTTCGACGTCGGCTAAGCTATGCTCTGCAGCTTGCTCTACTGACTCAAGTGCACGCCGGTGTACGGTTTCGGCTCTAGCCTCAAGTTCAAGCAGTTCAAGAACCTCTGACCTTACTTGAGTGATATTCATCTCAAAGCTTTGCGGGGCATAGACATTGTACTGATAAATGCTGTGCACAGCGCTTGGGTTCTGGCCACTGAGGATAGGACCGCTTGCTGGCAAGTTCAGTGCGGGCACGGCTGTGTTTCCGCCTGCCCCTATGCGGCTTCCCATAGATGGGAGCTGAACTGCACTTTGTCTTTGTTCCTCCGTCATAGATCTGAACGAGATGTCGCTTAGCGTCGATCGGTCAGTCAATAACTCTACGGAACTCATGCACTGATTGTGCAGTCTGTTTGTACCAAATATTACCAAATACACCAGGCCGTAGGCTATACGGCTGATAACCTATAGAATAGAAGGAACACTTCACACGCACTGATCAACCAACATGTACCCCTCCAAGTGGTGGCAGAACTAATATGCCATGGCATCCACACGATTCTTTTCTACCAGAGCACTATTGCAGCAGTCGTACATGCAACGGATGAGTAAACACACGTGCTATTTCAACATAGCCGAAGAGACCCGTCAGTTTTAATATAGGGGCCTGAAGAAGCAGGATTGGGCTTTGGGATACATTGCCCTAGCGACTTTTTAGGAACCCTGAATCTTGGCTCCGCGCCTTCAGATCCCTTCTCTCGCCCTGGGCTCGTCATTGTGAGCCAGGATTCGAAATGGTTTAGGATTGGGCGTCAGGCTTTGAGGCTTTCGGGATTAAGGTTTAAGTCGTACCTTTCCCAACACACAAGCAATTACCTAGTAAGGCTAAAGGCTTAAGGGTTAAAATGTTAATGGGCAAGGGTTCACTTTTAGTGAGTCTTTGAGGTCCTCGGGTTGTCCCCGCCCCACCCTTGAACCCTATAAACCCTGCAGCTCGAAACCAAACATCAAATCAGGGGGTTGAGAGTGTTCAGAATGTATCAATGCTTAACCTAAAGACCTAAAGCCAACGCGTTTCAGGGTAGCTCTTTTTAGGCTTGGAGTCATGGTTGGGTTTAGGGGCATTGTGTAAACCTGTAGCCCTCCTACCTCAATCGTGAACGCTAAAACCCCAAAACCTCAGGCCCTGAACACGATGAATGGCTTTGAGATTCCAGGGCTTTACGGCTCAAAGTCCATACAGGCCCAAGCGGCTGTGCCCGGCGAAGCTCCTTCCAGTTCGCAGTCGGAGCTCCCGCCAAAAAAGGCGGGAGCTCCGATGTCGCTGTAGTGCGTCGCAGACGCACCTGACAGAATTCTTGTCCGCCACACCCCAAGTTCCATAGCTAACGTGGGTTCATGCTTTTTGGATACGATTTCATTTAAAACAAGAGGCGAGGCAAGAGCGTGGGAGTGTCAGGGTTTTGTGGTTCTTGTAGGTTCAGGTTGCGGAGATAGAAGGTGCTCATCGGTCTTTTTACACTCCCTGGTTCAGTCAAGCGTCCTGGGTCTAGGGCCCTAAACCGCAAACCCCAGCTTTGCCACCGAGAAACTGCAACAGCGGGAGCCAGCAGCACACAGAAACAACAAAGGAGGCACTGGAAGCTCAGAGGCTGCAACGGATTGGTTTTCAAAAAAAGTGTAGAAACACGCTCTGCGTAGAAACACGTTCGCTAAGAAGATTGAGGGAGGCCGAAAACAGTGAGCACAGTGCTGTACTCTGGCTATTCCGACACAGACCAAGTTTCTTAACAGCAAATTGATTCACAAGCTTTTTTTGCAGAGTGCATGCTTGATGCTTTCGACAGCCCCAGCCTTCGCTGGACACGGCTACAACACGAATCGCGTAGAAACACGTTCGCGGAACTCCCAGGGAGACCAGGCCACCGTATCCTCCTGAGAGCTCAGCTGGTGCATGTCCGCCCCCTCAGATATCAGCGGTTCCTCGGTCTGAACGTTGCACGCTGTGCCGCTGTGCCTTTTGCTGCCGTTTTAGCTCGTCTTCTGCCTCCCTTCTTCTTCACTTTTGGTTCTTGGCCCACCATCAGATTTTGCCCCAATCTCTGAACTTTGCCCCGAGATGCCCAGCCCCAGCAGTTGGCTCTCAAGAAAGCTGCACGATCCGAAAGCCTCTGTACCGCCTCCCTCTGTGCCGCAATCTTGGCCTCGAGTACCTCCACATCCAGTTTCACAGGGTGCGCAGTCACCAAGCCGGGTGGAGCGACACAATCCCCCTCGCTGCATTCTTCACGTAGCCCTTCACCACCATCACCAAAGCCAGTGCCCTCACAAAACAAATCCGGTTCCATCCGTTAGGCGAGGAGACGCAGAGGGCGCACAGGGGACTTTGAGCCTTGAGCCCAAAATGGATGCCTGAGACCGTAAGCTCTTCAACCAAAACCGAAAGTAATTTAGGGTTTAAGGTTTAGGGTTTATCTATTGCATACCTAATTTAGGGATTAGGTTTAGGGTTTATCTATAGCATACCTAATTTAGGGTTTAGGGTTTATGGTTTAGCATACCCAAACCCTACGGCCTTTACCCCGATACCCGATACTGTTCCCTAAGGCCCCTCCTTACGCCTGTACTACAGGTTTATGGCTTAGGGTTTAGGGGTTTAGGGCTTTTACAACATGGGGCAACAGCCTATTCTAACTACTCAGGACCCTGAATTGGAACCCCAAGGAGCCCTACTCTAATCGATTTAGGGTGTAGGCTTTAGGGTATTACCCTGTGGTGAACACCTGTGTGCCATGGACCATGGGTTCAACAACGCGAGCAGCCAATCGACAACTAGAACTACGAGCTTTCGGGTTGAGGAGCTTAGGTTCTCCGGCTTCGATTTTGAGACTCAGGGTTTAGGGGTTCAGGAGTTTAGGTTTCCCGATTTAGGATTTCTATAGGGGTTTCGGATTTCCGGCCTAGGGTTTAGAACCCATAGCTCAAGATCATCAACACCTCTTGCTTCGGGCCATCTGACTTCAATGACCGTTGTCTGAAGTCAGCACTCTGGACCAGAATTTGTAGCGTTGAACCCAGGCCATTAACCTCCAAGCGGTCTTAATATGCAGAAGGTTATGTAATACAGCAATTACATACGGACTGCAAGAGGATGTTGCTACTGATTTGCAAGCTTGTACAATTATACTATGCCCTGAGACCCACAGCCGTGCTCCTGGAAGGGAACGAAAGCAGTGCCCGCCCCATCGATCACGGGCTGCGCGTTGGCGTCGGGAAGGCAAACAGGCTCCTTGGCTTCGAAAGTCAAAATGGTCCTCCCAGCATCTGGCACTTGAGCTCTGCCTTCATGTACGAGTGGTACTAGGTTTCTCCCTGTAATTTCATACTATAATATACCTCGAAGCCATATTCTAAGTAGGCTCCTATACCGTTTCCGCAGTGAAGTCTTGCGCAAGCCCCCTAAGCGACGCCGAAGGCTCGTTGTTGGGATTCGAGCCATTCCTTAGCGGCGGAGTTTGAAAGCTCTAAGCTCTCCTCTTTAGGGGTTGCTTGGGGCATATTCTAAAGCCCACCAACACAAAATAGAAAGTCCATAATGTCAGGGCTAACTATAGTATGATATGCCTCAAAACCCTATATCATTCTCAACTGCGAAGATTCTGCGTCGCCCGAAATCGTGCCAGGACGTTCTCTGAGTCTCCGGCTGCGGCAGGGCGGTCGTACGGGTCCATCCTCGGCGCGAGCTATATACCCCTGAAGCCCCTGAAACAACAACCCCAAACCTTATGACTATGTTCCCTAAACCCTTATCCCAATGAAGTGAATGTGTGCGTGTGTTAAAAAATGTAATACATGGACAGAGAGAGAGGGAGAGATAGATAGGTAGATCGATACATCGAGAGATCGATAGACGGATAGATAGATAGATCGACAGAAGTTAGATAGTTAGATAGCTAGATAGATAGATAGATAGATAGATAGACAGATAAATCGACGGATGGACATGGATGGATGGATGGATGGAGGGAGGGAGGGAGGGATGAATGGATAGATCGATAGACAGATAGTTAGATAGATAGATAGATAGATAGATAGATAGTCAGTAGATAGATAAGCAGATTGATAGACATGTAAAAGCAGACAGATAAGTTGAGAAACCGATTAGCTCGGAGCATGAGAAAGGAATACACACATGTACGAGGACACCTTTACATACACACATACACATACACAGACGCAGACGCAACCATACACATACACGCCTACAGACATACATACATCAATACCACACACACACAGATACTTAGCTACATACATAAAGACATACATACATCCATGCATGCATGCTTACATAGATACATATATACATACATACATACATACATACATACATACATACATACATACATATGTACATATATACATATATACACATATACAAATACATATGCATATACATAGACATATACATGTGTGTATACATATACATATATGTACATACACATGTGTATACATATATATAGAGAGAGAGAGAGAGAGGGAGATAGAAACACCGAGCGAGAGTGTGTGTGTGTGTGTGTGGCGAGAGACAATTTTGGGAGCCGATTTGCAAACTTTAGGAAAGGACTGGTCAGGTTCTTCTAATTGGTGGATGTCGGTGCCGGCGCAACGTGCCCGTAGCCTGGTTCAGGCGGCTGGTGGCATCTCGGATTTGGAAGGTATAGAAGCGTTTTCGCACGGCTGTTGCAGAGCATGTTGCTCGGGTTGCAGGGCATAAGCCAGCTTGAACCAGAAGCACTCATTCGAACAAGCCGAAGGTACTCAGAACCAGTTTTATAAGCTCTCCTCTTAACTGGGCCCCAGAAACCCCCCAACCCCTAAGCCGAGCAGGCCAGTCACGTTTGGCACAGCTGGGAATGGAAGCCGCTTGGCGTTGATTGCCGGTGCTGCTTGGTACGAGGGTGGCATCCACTTCTCAGAGCCCAAGATCCTGAGGTGAAGGATTAATGCTTTAGGGTTTGGTGCGTTAGGAAGTTGTGCTTTGCATATCCTTGGAATGGTTTAACGGTTCAGGTTTGGGGTTGCAGGATTTGGGATGAGAGTTTTAGGACTTTAGGAGATTCTGATCGTTTCCAGATGTGACAGTGATGCCAGTGTGGGTGGTGGTGGCATTGAGCCCTGCTAGACGTTTCTTATCTCCCCCACATAGTGCCGTCCTTTTTGCTGGCGAAGCTGTAGGTTATGCATTGCACCCATGCTTAGTTGTAACTAAGAATGCCGTCGTGTGCATCTAGTCTTCAGCTGCCGGCTGTCTGAAGCTCCCAGGACAGCAACGTAAAATTAAAGGGATGATTTGCGTCCGCAGAAGCTGCGAGCTGTGAGTGACTGGACATTACCTGACACTGTGAGACCTGACCTGTCATTTGCTGGATCTTGCACACGAAGCTCCGCACACTAGCAGCTATCACCGGAAATGCATCAATGGTTCGAAGCCCTGGCAGCTGCATCAGCGGCTGCAGCTGCATACCTGGGCTCAATGCCGTCGCCACGGAGGACTACTTGGGCCTTCAGGGCGGTTATGTGAAATTGTATAAGCTTAAGAACTCTACGGTTCCCAGAGGCTACAACTGAAATAGGGCTTGGCTTCTCTAAATTCCTAAACCCTGAAGGACCCCGTAAAGAACCCGTGTCGATCCCGTATAGATCCGTCTTACGGCTTCTATATAGTACTATAGTACCCTGCACCTCCAGGAAGGGATCTGTGGTAGGCTCTACCTGCTTTGAACTCGTGAAAACCTTCCAATGGCTACCTGCTTCTGTGGGGCGTGTAGGGTTTCGGGTATTAAGGCTTCTACAGGGAAGGCCAGGACCAAGGCAAGCCCTTGAAGCCTTGTTGTTAGAGATACATATTAACTATAACGCGATAGCTACCGCAGTTGCTCTAACTAATGTTGTGGCATCAGTACTCTTGTTGTAGCATCGTGACACTTATCCTTCTTATTCGTACGGCAGTATGGCTTTTTTGGGCTGATGAGCCCCTAAACCCTAAACCTCTAAACCCTGCCGTAGTCCACTGATCTGACTGCAAAGCTACTTGGGGACCATCAGGCCAATGCGTCGCGCTTCGTCCATGGCCTTGCGGGTCTTAAGGCTTTGAAGGACGTAGGATTCAAGGGTTTTGGGCTTCAGGGAGAGACTGTTAAGGACTTAAAGGATGTAGGGTTAAAGGGTTCCGGGGTTTAGGGCTTCACGGTTTAGGGTGTCGTTTGGCAGCTGCTGTCGGGGTTTGGGGTTTAACTCTTGGTCTAGGGTGCAGTCTCAGGTCAAGCTGAGCTGGCTTCAAAAACGACTGCATGCCCAGAGATCCCAATACCCCTTAAATTAAGGAATGTTTGAGCCCCCTATGACTTAAGGTCTATGCCAAATAAAGCGATATTGGGATTCCAAAATGGAGATGAGGCTTAGTACGAAAAAACGAAACGCAGGCTTGGGGGCGTCAAGGATGAGGGTGTAGGCTCTCGGGCTTGGGCAGGCGACCCTACACCACCTCCGCGGTAGCTGGAACTGCTGGCTTTATGGGCTCTGGGTTTGCGGTAATGGGTTTCGAGGATTGCGGGAAGCTGCAGACCACCAGGATTTGCATGACCCAAATGGCGGCATCTTGGGGGAAAATTCCAACTTCAGGACAGCCTCACCTCCCTAGCCCTGTTTGGCTGCAAAAGTCATGTTTCACCACCTTTGAAGCCTGATCTGTGGTCTTTTGCAGTTTCCCCTTTTTCCCCAGGCTTGCCGAGTTCACGCCTGGATGCATCATAAACCCTGAACCCTAAGCCCTAAACCCCACCGTCAGGTTCGCCTCTGCGATCATCCTTGATTCTCGAACCGATTCTCGAACCAATTTAGAAAGGTCAATCTGATGCTTATCAAGTAATTACTGCAAGTATGCTACCTCCCTTAAACCTAAACCCCAAACCCTTAAACCCTAAACCCTAGGCCCTGAACCCTAAAGCCCAAACCCTGAACCTAAAACCCTAGAACGATGAAATCAGGAAGTGAATCCTTCCGAACTCTCCGGGCGAGGCCTCGGCTGCCTCGGTTTCCTTCTCCAGGGACCGTACCTTGGATGACTGCTTAGGCTTTACGGTCCGGGGTTTACTGTTTAGGAGTTTAGGGTTTAAGGTTTAGGGTTTAAGGTTTGGGTTTTAAGGTTTAGGGCTTAAGGTTTAGGCTTTAAGGTTTAGGGTTTATGGTTTGTGGGTTTAGGAATTAGGGACAAACAGCGAGGTGCAGAAGCTGGGGGTCGGTTGGGGTTCAGAGTTAAACTACGCCCCAAGCAACCCACCTTTGTAAGGACTTATAGAAAGAATCATAGCGGGGAGCCCTACAAAGGAAGGTTTTATAGGGTCCAGGTAAGGCTAAAGGGCTGAAAATGTTGGTTGAAGGTTTATTACTCTCAGCTTCAATATGGGCGTCAGAGGCTTTGTAGACTTGGCAGCTCGTTGTCTTGATGACCCCCTTGGACTTGCAAGGCTTCTGAAACACCACGTTTGAATTCCTGGTTAAGGCGTCGACCGAGCTAGCTTCTGGCAGTCGATGCCAACGATAGTCTTGTGAGGCGGGATGCTATATAAACCTGGGTTATGTTAAAAGTAAGTACATGGATACCATAAAAAGTAGAATTCAACATGCCATGCAAAATAAGCAACAACAAACGAGGAAAATAGAGGAACATGACACACAAATAGGACAGGTGCTCGACACCACTTCCTATGCTAGTTCTATTTCGGTTTCCATTTTCCTATGTTGCTATATTGTTTCATTTTCTCTAACTCATTTCTATTCTTGGTAGGACCCGGTCTACCTTACATATATATATATATACACTCCTACGTAAGGCGAAGTCGAAGTCTGTCTCGGCAGGAGGTTCAAAAAATTAAAAGACATTCAAATAATACATAAACCAACAGACGCAAAAACGGGAAAACAAATAGACACCAAATAGAACACACACACGCACACACACACACACCCATAAACCAAATTATTTTTGGATTTATTTTCCATGTTTCAGCGATGTCTTGGCTGCTTCAACACATTCCTGGCTTCTATAGGATTCAGCCTGAGAAACATATTCGCAACTCACAACTGGAGCAGCAAAACTTTCTGAGCAGTGCTTTCAAGTGATTCTCAGATACGTACCAAGTTTACTGCCGAAGTCGAAACACAAGAACGGTCATCAAACAAGGAAGTTCCCGTCAACCACACCGGAAACACAGAATCCTAAATTCCTACATAATTTACATTCGTTCATCACGGGCTAGTTGCGAGAAGGTCATGTGCCTGCGTCTGGATCTGTTTTGCTGCTTGGACGTTGCCGGCCTCCTCGAAAAAAAGGCACTGGTTGGCGCAGCTCGAGCTCTGGGATTCGCCGCGTTGTATTGATTGTAAAACTGAGTTCTTGTTAAGGGGTTTAATTTAAGTTGTCATTATATTAGGGATCTATAGTAAATAATATGGTTTCCTTACTAAAGTAACTTAAACAAAATCACCTTAACAAGAGCCCAGAGGGTTAAGGTTGGATGAGGGTGTTCGGCTGCCGGCTGTTCAAGCTCCTAGAGATCCAACTTGAAGCACTGCCGTTTGTGGGATGACAAGACTGACATTGGCAATGTGTGAAATAGCGAAGGCTGAACTAAAAATTCTGAATTGCATGCGAACCTGCTCGTCCCAGAGAAGGCTACTTTGCTGAACCAGCACGCTTCAACTCCTTTTCTTGGGTTGGCTGCTGGAGCAGAAACCCGTCAATCCGAGACTCTTTCTGAGCGCGGAAGACAGTCCCAACCAAAACCCCAAACAATCCATCCCACAACCGCCTCGTATGCATGGATCTGGTGGTGGGTGCTGTCCGAGCTGGCACGAAGTAAATCCGCTTCGGAGCTCAGCTGCGCTGACTTTGCCTCATAGAGGCCTTGGGTACCTCGGCACAGCTTCCCCGCTGCGGGGTTTGGAGTTTGATTTGGGAGTTCCGGCCTTCATTTATTACTACTATTACTTTTTTTCTTGTTGTTGTTCGTATGATGATTATCGTATTCATAGTAGTGTTGCTGTAGATCTATATTCATGGCGGTGTTATTATAGATCTTTTGGCGAACCCGGCGAGCCGTTTCGGCACATTCATCTCCTTCCCGGAGAAAACTGCGCTTACTTACTAAGTCCACTGATCCTCTAAGTGGCATGGCTTCTGATTCACATATTGGTCGGGGCCCATCGCCCATCAGGGCTTTGGACTAAGATTTCGGGCCAAGGGCTTGCACTTCAACTGACAGCGAAGCTGCGAAGTCTTTCTTGATATAGGCCTGCACTGCCGAAATCTGCCGAACTTCTGACAATCAAGGGACTCCATTCAAAAGAAACCCTGGGATCGGCCAGTACTGGATCGACGAGGAGCTTTCCACCTGCCGAATTGCTGCATGATACCTCGGCCGTGAGGCTAGTGTGGCAGCAGTGTGGTGACAGTGCTGACATTGCGGCTGATAGGTCTTCATCACAGGTATGCACCGTGTTTTTCGGCCTCGGTAGAGTGCAACATGTGACTGCTTCAGCAATGGTCTCGATACTGTTCTGATCGTCCGTGCATTGCCACCGTCATTGAGCTACTGATCATGTCGTCTTTCTGGGTAAGTACTTCCATTACAGATGGTATCATTCTTCATTCTGCTGAATTCAATGCTACTGTAGTGATAGGATGCAACACTCTTGGCGTTTTCCGCCACTGCTCATTGGTATTCTTGATGCTCCATATGTCCAGGTGAATAATGCTACGTTCTTCGTACTGTAGGTTGTGTGCCGGCTAGAGCACTGCTATACTTCTTACGTTTGCCCCTTTACTAATGGGCAAATCGAGCACGCTTCGCGCTGCTTGGGAAGGCCCTTCCGGCTTGGGGCGCGGCACAGCCGGAAGCAAAAGCGACAAAACACACAAATGCTCAGCAAATCGAACAGAAGTGCAACGGTGTCATGCAGAGTGAGCAAACCACTGCTGAAACCGAATCATGCACAGATAGAGACCTGCGGAGTTAAAGCATGATGCTGAACGTTGCGCAGACGTCACACTTGTGGCGTGGGCTCGCGGGCCCTGGAAGAACGCGACTTGGTCAATGTGGGAGTAACCGTACAGCACTAGGCACCAACCATGTGTGCTTGAACGACTACTTCTTGATCCTGGCTAGTAACTAGTACGAAGGCTCATTGCATCAGCATTCGCTTGGGACATTGACGGGTTTGATGAGTCGCAGCGCGGGTGTTCCTAGCAACGATGGCCACCAGCCTCTACCAGCACAACAGCCACGGACCAACACCCTTGTTGAGCCAAAGCTTGGGTGCTCTACCTGCATGCAGCACCAGGTTTGCACACGAACCAATGTCTCTCTGCATGGCTGCCATGGCAGCCAAGGAACGGCCCAGCAGCCACTGCAGCAGCAGCAGGTGTCGTGGGAATCTTTGGCGTGGCATGGGCCTTGAGGTAGCCGAAAGTTTGAAGTGACAAAACCTATCAGGTAGTATGAACATGGCAAAGTGAAACCCATGCAAGATCTCCTAGTACTGTTCGCCAAACCAGACCCGAGAAGAAGCAAGCGGTAGGTAGAACAAATGTAGCCAGCCCGTATCGTAAGCACTACTAGCTGCTAGTTCCATCGTCGCATGTCCTCGGCACCATCACCGAAAACTTCCTGTTCGGGCTTAACCCGCATCTTCATCGGCACCATCGCTCGCAGTGCCAACCAGCAACAACACCATGTTAGTCATGCTCGCCATCACTTAAAGTCATCGTCAAGCACATTGCAATCCTGAGGTACGAACTGTCGTCGTCGTTTATTCCTCGTTTATGAATGTTTTCAGTCACGTGTCAGCCGTCGTGGCCACCATCACTTTCTTCTACACCGTGCCCGTAATACTCGTGAGCGAAGTAATGATTCCATCAGCAATGTCGTTGTAAGCCTACAAGTATTTGCTACGAATTGTTCGTCATCCCGAACACATGCTTCGCGACATGTTTGACTTTTGGATGTGGCTCGATGCGTATACGTGGCTTCCCAGGGGTAGAAAAGTATGCGTATCCTGTGAATTTCGTGACCGGGGTCCGGGTCCAAGCGCGCATCAATCTGCATCTTCTTTGGAGCCGAGGATCGGAAGAACACAACTATCACAGCTCTTAAGCCAGTCTTAGCCTGACCACTCCGAACATCTAGGGGTTCGCGCTTGCTCATCCCAAACCGTAAATCCCAACTCACAAAACCCTCAAACCCAATACATGCCTTAACCACCAGCCTGACAATGTAAAGCTCATATGACTCATTAAACCCTCAACCTTCAAACTTTAACCCTACACCAAACGCCAAACTGTACGTTCGTAGACGCCTTGAAGTTGCTCAAGAACTTCTTGTTCAGCTCGTCCTCAGCTCTCGTTCTTCGCATCATATCACGGCAGAACCGTGATTTTGGCATCAAAGGGCTCTATAAGCCCCTAAACCCTAAACTTGTTAAACTAAGCCCTCAAACCCTATAACAAAAATCGGTTCAGCGTCCTGCTGGCTGAATTGCTTGATGGCTGCATTTGCCGCCTCCTGGGCAGCAACCGCCGGAGCTTCCTCGATCTCCTTGACCTCTTCCTCTGCCTTCTTGGCGGCCTTTGGGTGCGGGGCTATAGGGCCCTAATAGGGGGCCTTATAGGGTTGAGGGTTTAGGGTTATAAGTTATAGGGGGTTACACGGCTTGAAAGTTTAGGGATGTAGGGCTCAATGGCCAGTACCGGGGCTTGCTGTCGGAATGACGATAGGATCTACTATAGGCCGGCTCTTGTAAAGCCTATCTAACAAGGGCTTACAGAGACCGACGGGATGGGGACTAAGGCCAAACCTACGTGAGCTAACCCATTATACGTAGAGTTATAGGTTGCTATAGTCGTGAAACGAGGTCGCTCAGAGTTACTCAATTGAAACTACAGATAGCTCCTGCCACTCTGATCGGGCTGGCCATAACGGAATGTAGACAGGAGTGTCTGACATGGGAGGCTTCTATCCTGGAGTTCTCGGGTCTAGGTAGGCCGCAGAATTCTCACTTCCTTAACCTCCACCATACTCTAGATCTAAACGCTAGGTGCAAAATGCCCCTGACCACCTGTACAGTAGTCTGCACTTCAACGGCGTGATCCCTTCTTTATGGAGCTTCTGCTGGTTTGAGGACGCATTTCATCGGTTTTGTTTGAGGCCGACGCAGAAACGTGATAACCTCAACTGCTGAGGCGTCCCCTGTTGAGGGTCAAGCTGTCCATAAAGTCCGTACCACAAAAGAGAATTCAAAGGCTTGCAGCTGTACATAGGTTTAACATCGAGTTTAAATCTTTCGGAAATTGCATGTCCCGTATAGGGATCGGGATATTCAGAGATTCAGAGAAATCGAAGCCTGTCCTATCCTCAAGCAGCTCATCTCAATGACTCGCTGAACCCCCCAAGAAACATCGAAATGGATCAGAGCTACCAGAGGCGCCATTTTGCTTTGGATGGGAACAACTAGACATAGATTTATATAGGTAATTAATCATTTAGGGCTTGTAGAAAAGGTTCGGTGCAGTTGCGTGGGGACTTGTAAACCCTCCAACCTAGTTTCTTAAGCACCCCTGTCCATATCACATGCAGTATATAGTTTGACGCTGCTGAAGTAACCTTGACACCATGCATCCGCCTGCTGCGCGGCGAGAGCGTAGGCACCGGCCCTTTCTGCTGAGTGCTGGAGTTCCGTTTTCACCTGTAACACGAATTTCGGGAATTTCGGGCACGCAAAAGATCAGGGGGTCTTCGTAACTAGGGCAAACACACAAAAGTACGGTATCACGCCTATGGCTGCTTAAGAATGTAATCAAGGTACCTCCACCCATGCTGATAACTAGCCGTAACCCGTGGCGCTTCAAGTAGGCTTCATAGTATAATTGAAAGCAGCAGCAGAGCTGCCCAGCAGAGCCCACATCGTCAAAAGAGCATGCAAAGCTTGCCCGAGCTGGCTCCAGTAACAAGAAGTTATCGAACAAAAAATGACGACTGGAATACATACTATCATAGGTATTTCAGGAGATGTTTCTGAAATCATATATCCTGTACTGTTCAAGCAGCTAAAACGCATTGGCAGCGGCTGGATAGTGCAAGCCCTTTAAAGACTAAGCCATTCATGAGGGTGCGCACGAAACGTTTGGCGTTCCGAGCGCCCAGAGTACTCTCGTACTTCGTGCTCTCCCTCACTGATTCTGGGCACCTTAACCCGAATCCTGGAGTCCTGAACATGGAACCTTAGTGTAGGACCCTTCATAACATAGGGTTTTGGACTTCTTTATTGTATACTTATAATCAGGAACCCTAAGAATACTGGTAATCATTTAGGCTTCTACATTAGTCAGCTTCCCACCCCAATGCTTGCCCTAAACAGCGAATCTGTACCAAATACAGCAGGAACTTCTGAGCTTCGGTATCTATGACGCCTGAGTGACCCGAGAACCCAATACCCCTAAAGTTAAGGAGTATACCATAAATCATAATATTAAGGCCCCCCTAAAATTTGAGGTATACTTCTTAATTAAGGAATTTACCTGAAATTAATGCTATTAAGGCTAATACAATCTTTAATTAGGGGGTATTGGGTTCTCTGGGGAGACACGACTTGCAAAGCCCCTGACACGCGATACCAAAAGTTCCTGGGGACTAGGGTTTACCGGGGCGTTTAGGGGTCAGCGCAGTGTAGTGGAGTAAATGCTACACCCTCGACATCTAGACTCGAACCACCTGAGCAAAGCCTACAAGCCGCATTAGAGGTCGATGAACCCGTATTCAGGATCCTCTGTGCCTTTTCGCCCGAAAATGCCAGTACTACCTGTTTATTCTTCCCCAAATACTGACTTCCATTGCTACTACCCTGTCCCCACATGCATAC